GCCTCATGCATGCAAGGCAAGCGCTCTACCACTGAGCCACCTTCCCAACCCCAGCTATAGAAATTGTACACAGGGTGAAAAAATGTAAACGAAGTCTTACTATATTCATTACAAGTACAATGATGTTGCTGTTATATTGAACTGAATCTGATTTAGGTTTGTGAGAAGGCAGGAAGAAAAATACATAACCTTAAATGTAGCTTATGTAATTTTGACAACCTACTTTTGTAAATTCGACAACCAGCATTGTTGAGTAATAAATGGTTTCATTTGGGAAATGTTACGATGCCTTCTAAAGGTTGAAACCTTACTTTGGGCAAATCAGAATGAAGATACAAACTGCCCCAATTTTACTGACATCCTGTGTAATTCACAATATTTTGTGTATATAAAGTTGCCTAAAGTGCAAATAATTGGAATCTGTTAATGTTACATTCTTTATCTGTGTGCATGTGATTAATGTAACCTGGCCACCATTGCACAAGAGGCTGACACTGACGGAACAATGATTAATCATGTCTGAATAACATATGACTCACTAGAAATCGTTTCCTCTCATGATTAATCTTCTGAGGACACGGGATTTTCAGATGGGGCAAGCCGTTTTGCTCCAGTTCCCAATACTCTTGCTTTTAAAGAGCAAGCAAAGGGAATGTGAACACAACGTTTACATTGATCCAGCAGCAGGACTTCATGAGTTCAGATTCTGTAATAGAACTAATTGTAAAACTGTGACTGGTCTCTTTTGTAAAGGAGACCAAATACATGTTCTATTAAGACCTTCAAGTAATGAATATTAGCATGATTTCATATTAAGTTGTTGCTAGAGCTTGGGGATTCTTCGTGAATTACTGTCTCCATTCTAAAATGGTCATAGAAGGCTAACCATTGGAGTTACTGTTTTCTTTTGATTTTTAGCATAATGAGGCACAGTGTTGCAGTAGCTGGTTACCCAGTTCCCCTTTAGGCCAGACAAATGTAACAGTAACAAGAGAGCAGTGGTAATAAACTTGTGCCAGGCAGTTCCTTTAGCTTATTCCTCACCTTTGCCTTTTTTGTTTTTATTTTTCTGTTTTGTTTTACCATTCTGGGAGGTGAAGTCTGGGCCTGTGTGCTCCCCTTGGAGTTTCATGACTTTCCTGCCCCGGCTGGCTTCACACTGTGATCCTCAGATCTCAGCCTCCTGACTAGCTAGAAATACAGGCATGTGCCGGTGGTGCCTGGCTTTTTTGTCCTTGTTTTGTTGTGTTGTGTTGTGTGAGGCTTGAACTCTGGGTACTATCCCTGAGCTTTTTTTGTTCAAGTTTCACCTCTGCCTTTTCGGACTCCATTTTGCCATATCTGCCCCTGTCCAAAGGAAGGGCCTACTTACTAAAAGCACATGGAACCTCATTTAAATTTTCCTGTTTTAGTAAGTTCCGTTTCGTATGGCCAATATAATATGTGCAGATGTCACATATTCTTATGTAGCACCAAAGTATTGGCTCCCACCTGCGCTTGCCTGCTAATCCAAACAATAGCAACAAACTTTAGGTGAAACTCTATCTCGAATTACTTAGTCTTCATAGTGCACTTTTTTTAACGTGAGGCACAGAGAGGGTGGGTCATTTCCTTCAGGTTATCAGCTCCTGTTATCAACTTTTATATTGAACATATTCAACCTCAATTCATAATTGGAAGAGTAGTAATAGGGTTCTATATGTTTCTGGGTTTGTTTTTGGTTGTTTTTGTTTTAACATTATCTATTGATCAGTTTCTCCATTGCTGTGGCATAATAACCTGAGCCAGATCAACCCAAGAAGAGGACAGGTTTATTTTATTTTAGCTCCCAGTTTCTGTTCCTAGTTGCCAGCTCTGTTGCTTTGAAGCCCAAAATGAGACAGCAGAACACTATGACAGGATGCCTCCTCCCTCTTTGATGGCCGGGAAGCAGAGATAAAAAGGCCTGAAGACAAGAATAGTCTCTTCTCTCTTCTTTTCTTTTTCTTCTTTTTAAAAAATTTTTTGCCAGTCCCGAGTTTGAACTCAGGGCCTGGGCACTGTCCCTGAGCTTCTTTTGCTCAAGGCTAGCATTCTACCACTTGAGTCACAGTATCACTTCCAGCTTTTTCTGTGTATGGGGAACCCAGGACTTCATGCATGCGAGGCAAGCACTCTACCACCGAGCCACCTTCCCAGTCCAAGGAAGTCTCTTGAAAGGCTTGTTCCCAGTTGTTCACTCCATCCAACCAGACTCCACCTCCTCATGAGCCACTTAGTGGGAGCTCATCACTGGATCTGCCCACTGATGAAGTAGCACCTCATGACCCAGACACCTCCTGGTTGCACGTCAGTGGGGATGAGCCTGCATACAGGAACCCTCGGGAAGCCCCAGCACAGGGCTCCCCCTCATCCTTTCTAAACAAATTGAATAGTCTCAGGCTCTATCATGACCATAAGCCCTGTGCAATCAAAGCAAAATGAACAAGTACTTATAAATTTTTTTTTTTTTATCGGTCATGGGGCTTGAACTCAGGGCCTGGGCACTGTCCCTTAGCTCTTCAGCTCAAGGCGAGCGCTCTACCGCTTGAGCCATAGCATCACTTCCAGCTTTTTCTGCTTATGTGGTGCTGAGGAATTGAACCCAGGGCCTCATGCATGCAAGGCAAGGACTCTACCACTGAGCCACCTTCCCAGCCCGTATCCTTAACTTTTTTTTTTTTTTTTGGGTCCGGTTGTAGGGCCTGAACTCTGGGCCTGGGCGCTGTCCCTCAGCTCTTCAGCTCAAGGCTAGCACTCTACCACTTGAGGCACAGCGCCACTTCCGGCTTTTTTCTTTTTGCTTATGTGGTGCTAAGGAATCGAACCCAGGGCCTCGAGCATGCAAGGCAAGTGCTCTACCACTGAGCCACCTTCCCAGCCTGTATCCTTAACTTTTTAAAGCTCTTTTCTTCCTTGCTCTTGTGCTTTGCTTTTACTAAATTCAATCTTATGAATTTGGTGTCTAAAAAAAACCTCGAGTATATAAGTGTTAGTTTGGTTTTTGCTTGAACCTTCCAGTGAGTAAAGTAAGTAATTTGAAATCTCTGATTTTATGGAATGCCTCAGCACAGGAAGACTGGATTTCCCAGTAAGAAGCTTAGCCAATTTAGAATTTTCTCTTTACTTTTTGAGTCCCAAATGATTTAATGTTTAGTTGGAAAGTTAACTTAATGTGAAAGCTTGAAGAAAAATTTTGATGGTTGTTTCTGTACGTTACCTACAGTCTGGAGAGATGGATTTTACTTTGTATTTCTAATTTTTTCTTTCCTACCTTGTTAACACTCATGTAATATTTATGAGAAAGAAGAAGGTCCAGATGGAGCTGGTATCTGCAGATGTTAATCTGGACGGACTCCGGTCAACTCCAATTACTTTCAGTTCATAGACTGTTAGGTTTGTACTGTGTTTCAAAAGTTTCATACCCTTTTCTTTCTTTCCATCTATAGCAACAAGTGGGAATGGAGACTTCGGTGACTGGAGTGCCTTCAATCAAGCCCCCTCAGCCCCTGCGGCTTCTGGTGGCGAGCTCTTTGGTGGTGCCCCACAGCCAGCACTAGAACTTGTCAGCAGCTCACAGCCAGCCTTGGGTCCACCTCCAGCTGCCTCCAATTCCTCAGACCTATTTGATCTTATGGGCTCCTCTCAAGCAACCATGACATCATCCCAGAGTATGAATTTCTCTTTGATGAGCACGAATACTGTGGGACTCAGTTTGCCCATGTCAAGATCACAGGTAAGTTATCTGCTTCCCTTGGCAATTGTGACTCATAACTGTTGAGATATTCTTAATGAAAACTTAGTGTAAAGACGTAAAAATAAGCTGGTGGCCTGTAATCCTAGCTACTCAGGAGGCTGAGATCTGAGGATCGTGGTTCAAAGCCAGCCCAGGCAGGAAAGGCCATGAGACTCTTGTCTCCAATAAACCACTCAAAAAACTAAATGTAGCACTGTAGTTCAAGTAGTAGAGCCCTAGCCTTGAGCTGAAGAACTGAGGGACAGCACCCAGGCCCAGAGTTCAAGCCCCACAACCGACAAAAAAAAGACATAAAAATAACCCAGCCCTTTCTGTGTATCTTTGTACAGATATCTTAGGCCATATTCATAAGTCAGTTGAACAATGAACATTGTCTGAGAAGTGGGCATTGGCCACTCTTTGTGTGTGAACATCATGTGTAAGACACTAGTACTTCACAGCAGCACTGGATCGCATAACCCTATATGGTCCATTATTGACCAAAAGGCCATTAGGCGCTGTGTGTGTGTGTGTGTGTGTGTGTGTGTGTGTGTGTGTGTGTGTTGCATCTTGAGTTCACTTTACACTTGTTCCTTGGTATAGACATTGAATTATGGAGGGCAAGGCCTTCTCGCCTATCCTGTGTCTCCTGTGGTTAGATGCAGTATTTTGTGCCAAGAAAAAAGCTAAAAATGATTGAACTAATAACAAGCGGATCATTGTTATTGATTAAAATTGTTTTAATTGTTTTAAGGAAAAGAGAATAGAAGCTGGGTGCTGGTGACTCACCATATAATCCTAGCTACTTTTCCTGCCAGCCGGGGCAGGAAAGTCCATGTGTCTCTTATCTCCAGTCATCTACCAGAAGGAGTAGAAGCTAATTGGTAGAGCACTAGGACTGACATCCCCTCACCCTTCCCCCCCAAAAAAGAATAGATGCATTTCCCCCATGAAAAGCATTTTAGTAGTAAATCCAAACTGCCTAATGTAGGCTTAAAATGTGGCCAGGTACCAGTGACTCACTCCTTATAATCCTAGTTACTCAGGTGTCTGAGATCGGAAGATTGAGGTTCAAAGCCAGACTGGGCAGACAAATCTGAGAGACTCTCATATTGAATTAACCAGCAAAAACCCAGAGCTAGAGGTATGGCTCAAGTGACAGAGTGCCAGTCTTGCACAAAAACAGCTAAGCCAGAGTGCAATACTTTAAGATCAAGCCACAGCATCAACACAAAAAAGGAGGAAAAAAGGAAAATATGTATTTTGACTCAGGCCATTAAGAATATTTGTGGCACTAATTGCTCTTTTTAATGGGTACAGTTACTTCTTTCAGGTGTTAGGATAAAGGAAGAGAAGAAAGAAGCAGAAAGATGATTGCTTATATAAACAGAAGCTAGACCTAAAATAATTTTAAGATGAAGCCAGTCTGATTCATCACTTGTAATGAAGATTCTTTTTATCGCTGCATTTTAAAATTATTTTTTCCATTCTTTTCCCTTTTTTTTTCCTGTCTATTTTAATATAAACTGTTTCTGTAGCCACCTGACATCTGTGCTTCTTTCTCCTTCGTATCTCTTTTCTCGTGAATTGGTCCATATGTGTATCAAGTTCCAGTAGTGTTGCTCACTTCAGGCAGAAGTGTATACAGAGTAAGAAATATTAGACTACGTGAAATATCATTTGCTGCTCAATAATTTTGCCTTGTGAAACATGAGAAATCATATCATGAGTTCTGTTTTGTAAGTTATTACCTTTGTATTTCCTTAAAGGTACACTAACCTTAAGTCAGTAGTTGCCTTGGGCATTTGACACTAATGGTGGCTTTTAGACTTTCGGTTACAGGAGAAAAATGATGAGTGTACGTACATTAATTATTGTAATGAAATTGCCATCTGATAATCTTTACAGAACAGATGCTTAATTTTTAGAGCATTTTTTTATTTTCCAGCCTTTGCAAAATGTTAGCACAATGCTGCAGAAGCCTAATCCTCTCTATAATCAGAATACAGATATGGTCCAGAAATCAGTCAGCAAAACCCTGCCCTCCACGTGGTCTGATCCCAGTGTAAACATCAGCCTAGACAACTTACTACCTGGTATGCAGCCTTCCAAACCCCAGCAGCCATCACTCAACACGATGATTCAGCAACAGAGTGAGTTATCTCAGCACGCCCTACTCCTTGTGTATTTCTACTCTGTTGCCCTGCTACCACAGCTGTTTCAAATATTAAAATATGGGAGGGAAGATAACTGGGCATTCACTTAAGACCTTTTTGCATAATGTTCATTTAATATCCCTCCTGGAATACTGACTGGATTTGCATTCTGCTCTTGGTATAATAACACTTAGCATATTGTGGTGAATGTGGATGGCCTGGACTATAAAATAGAAAATATTAGTGGTTGGGCTTGGTGTCGCTTACCTGAAATCCTAGCACTCAGGAGGATCACAAGTTCAAAGCCAGCCTGAACTACGTTAAAGAGACACTGTGTCAAAGAAGCAAGGCCTGGAGCTGTAGCTCAGTAGTAGAGCACTTGCCTAATACTGTTGCCTTCCCAGCAACCCTCACACCCTACCCAAAAAAATGTTTTCCAAGCAGTGAAGAAACAAAAATCATCTAATTCCATGGATTTGGGTTTTTTTTTCCTGTTATTGCTAAGCATATTTTATTTTATTTTATTTTTTATTTTTATTTATTTTAATTTTTTTGGTCTGGTCGTGGGGCCTGAGCTGTGGGCCTGGGCGCTGTCCCTCAGCTCTTCAGCTCAAGGCTAGCGCTCTATCACTTGAGCCACAGCACCACTTCCAGCTTTTTTTTTTCCTGCTTATGTGGTGCTGAGGAATCGAACCCAGAGCCTCATGCATGCAAGGCAAGCGCTCTACCACTGAGCCAACTTCCCAGCCCACTAAGCATATTTTAATGCTTGGATCATGCCATCTATATTATTTTGCTTCTTGCTGCCATATTAAATCATGATGTGTTTTTTTTCCTATGTTCAGCAAGAATGTTGAGGAAGTCATTGATGTCAATGTGTACAATTCCTCTTAGTGGTTAGATTGTTTTCAGCTTTCTGTTAATATAAATAACTATGCTTTTACATACATTTTGTACTTCTCACTTTTCCTTGCTATAAATTCTGGACACAAAGTAACTGACACAAAGGCTTCGAACCTGTGTAAGGCTTTGAGTTTGTTAAGTAGGTTTTGTAACAGTGCTTTCAGATTGTCTTTCCCATTCTGTTTCTACATCTCTATTAAACCATGCACGGAATATTAACAAGTGCAGATTAATTTTCTTCTTCGAAAGTCACAGTGGAAGAATTTTATGGAAACTAGAAGTATTGAGGAGCAAGAAAAGGCACCTGATTTTGCTGCTTTACAAATGGAGGAGTTGTGTTTGTAAAGCTCTTCTGTCTCTTTTCTTCTGGCAGATATGCAACAGCCTCTGAATGTGATGACTCAGAGTTTTGGCGCTGTGAACCTTGGTTCTGCACCGAATATGCTTCCTGTCCGGCCACAAACTAACCCTTTGATGGGAGGACCCATGCCTATGAGTATGCCCACTGTGATGACTGGCACCATGGGAATGCCCGCCCTGGGAAATACGCCCCTGATGAACCAGAGCATGATGGGCATGAACGTGAACATGGGCATGTCAGCTGCTGGGATGGGCCTGGCAGGCACGGTGGGAATGGGCATGCCCAACATAGCCATGACTCCTGGACCTGTGCAGCCCAAGCACGATGCCTTCGCAAATTTTGCCAACTTTAGCAAATAGGAGTTGTCAAGATGCAGGTTGAATGAAGAATTTTTAGCTGTGCAGATAGGTGATGTTGGGATGGGAAATGCTAATCAACTCCCTTTTCTTTTATCAGTTACTTAAATAAACCTACAGAAAGAACCAAAAAGGCTGTTTTCTAAAAGTGAAATACCTAGTATTTCAGAAGGCCACGCAAGAGCACTTCAAATCATTTTCCCCAGTGAGGATAGACCACAGGTGGGGTGAAGAGGCCCCTGGCCACCTTCATAAAGCCAAGAGCCCAGTTAACATCGTGCATGGTGGGAAGACTGGAGTAGGGCTGAGCAAATGTGTTTGAATCTCTAATTTTATACTTTTCTTTTCCTGATGAACTTGATTTTTCTGTCCCTGAATCGCCTTGTCATAATTGGGTCTGTTCCCTTTACTACCACTCTTGCGTCCATATATGAAATCATTAAAGTTGGATGATCAGTTTTTTATAAAAATATCTATTTTTGTCCAAAAAAAGCATCCACATGTGATTATGGCTAGGTCAAAGGTGACTGGAATGTACATACTTTTGCTAATATCCAGCAGCTCTGCTATGATACTGTCCAAACTTTTCTTGTAACAGAGTCCCTACGCGATCAGCGATGGCTGTGGGCTGCCCATTGCTTCTGCTCTTTTAAGTTTCCTGGGCAGAACTTGGGGGGGAGGGGGAATTTTTTTTTTTTCAGGACTGCTCTACAGTTTCCTTTTAAAGAAAGAAAACAAACCTCCAGTATTTGTTTGTTTGTTTTTAGCAGTCTTATTTTACAATCTGCAGTGAGGACACTTGACCAGGCTTCCTTCCGTGTTCATCCTTATAGCCAGCATTTTCAGTCAGGAAAAGTCAAAAGAGTAAAAAAATATTTATTTTTTTGTCTTTTTTGGTGTCTTCAAAAAATTGGAAAGATAGAAATCCATTGAAACCTCAAGTGTAAATTGTTAGAACTCAACGATGTTCACTTTTAGACTTTCTGTGGTATTTGTTTTTGTTTGGTTCTGAGTGTATATAACGTGACATTAGCAATATGGTTTCTATAGAGGAGTTCTATACGTTACTAAAGGAGGCCTGTAGCAGTCAAAGGTTTTATTGATTTAATGACAAATAAAGGAAATTAATTCAAATGTTTTTTCTTTCCTGATGTAGTTCTGCATTGAGCTCACGTGAAAATCATGATTCTAGAGTTTGGAATGCAAAGTTAATTGTTTCAACTGCAAGCTGGGAATATTTTTTAAAATAAATACTATAATATAGTTATCAAATTATTACCTCCCCACTTTATGTTGAAGATTTTTTTATTAAATTGATAAAAACTTTGTTTCCATTTTATTCATAATGTTCTGTTATATATAACATTAAAATGTTCATTAAAATCAATGTTGAACTGCTTTTTCTTTCATTCCATTAGACATTGGAGACCATTTGGAGAAACAATAATTATAATTTGGGCAAAGTAATTTTTATAAATAATTTAAGTTTATTTAATGACTTCTCTATTCTTTCCTATCAGGCTCTACTGTTAGGAATTAAAAATGAAGCCACAGAGATATCCTGACCCGCTCTATTCTTGCTAATGCTCCAGCTACAACATTTCTAATTAGGCAGAAATTCATGTACTTCAGCTAAGTGGTAATGAAAAGTGATTCATTTGCTGAATAAGAGATGAGAGAGAGTGTAATTAGCTGACTGCGGTTTTTAATCTTTCAACAATTCAATGTGTTTAAATTAGTTTCAAAGACCAGGAGCTTTCAAGTGTTGTTAGTTCACAGCAACCCACCAACCTCTGTGGCACTTACATCTAAACCCTGGAATCATAAAGAAGTTGTTTAAAATTGAGAAGTATGTTTTGCCCTTTGCAAATGTATATGGTTCTTAGAGAATGTAAAGGTTCTATACCTCAACATGTGTGTTTACTTTTGTTTTTCCGATGAAGCTCTATGTCTAAAGCATTTACCAGACTCTGCCTCCCTACGAGGTGAATCTGAGGATCCATCCCATCGACTCTCAATATATAGTTCCCTGTCCTGCAGTATTTCTTGTTTCAGAGCCCACCAGAAAGGAAGGGAGAAGCCTTGGGTCACCCTGAGGGCCTGTCCATTTCATTTGACTTGACTTTTGAGATTGGGTTTTACTGTGTATATCTCAGGCTGATCTAGGATTTGTGATCCTCCTGCTTCAGCCTCTTTAAGTGCTGGGATTGCAGGTGGGCACCACTGTAGCTGACTGGACCTGTGCCATTTAATAGTTTGTCTCAGGTTACTAAGTGATAATTACAAAAAAAAAGCACAAAGACCCCAACATGACCTGGAAGAGAATAGTCCTGCAAGAGAATAGTCTTCCTGTATCTTCAGAATGTCCCTTCTGCCCATCTTACGAACTCTTTATCAACCAGAGCCTTTCTGTTTGTGTCTGTTTTTCCTTCTCCCTCATATTGTTAGTGTGAGGGGAGAGATGGTTCTAGCAGTTTGGATATGATGAGGTCATGCAGCCGCTCCACATTTTGTCTGCCTATCTAGAGTTCTCTTTCCTGATCATTTCAAGAACCATAAAAGGTACAGTCTTTTTGTGCAGTTCTTTGTTGCAGTGCTTTTTTTTTCTCTTTGCTTTTTAAGTGGTATGTCTACAGTGCTGTGTGTTTGGAGGTAGTCATTAATCTCTCAACCCCTGTAGTTCACTTGTATGTGGAGGAAAGGGTTAGTACTTTTTCCTCATATATTTATGAAATAGTGGGTGTGGTATAATTGTCTAGATATCAGAAAATAAGGCAACATTTGTAGCAGACAATAAGCCCTGACTTCTGAAATAAACTGTGAGTTGCAGCTCTCCTGAGCTATATCAGAGAAGCAACTTTGTAGCAGACAGACAATCCTGTTTCAGTCATTGACTATGTGTGGGAGTTTCATCCATTTACCTGAAATCTTTGGACCCTGATAACCATTATCCTAAAATGAACCCACAAGTCCTGAATGCTGAGTAATAAAGTAAAATTATGAATGAGAGCCCCAAGTCCTGACTTGTGCTTGTCAATGTTTCTCTCCCTCCTGCTTTTTTATTTATACAAGGGTAGCAGCAATTTCATATTTCTATCTTATTCCTAAAAGCAAAGTTTACTCAAAGCCTGACCTGGCAATACTAAGTTGATGGAGAGTTTTACTTTCTACATGAATTTAACTCTGTCAAGTACATTGTTGATTGTGTATTTTTTTTTTTTTTGCCAATTGTGGGGGCCTGAATTCTGGGCCTGGGTGCTGTCCCTTGGCTCTTCAGCTCAAGGCTAGCACTCTACCACTTGAGCCATAGTGCCACTTCCGGCTTTTTCTGCTTATGTGGTGCTGAGGAATCGAACCCAGGGCCTCAGGCATGCAAGGCAAGCGCTCTATCACTGAGCCACCTTCCCAGCCCCGATTGTGTATTTTTTTCTTTGCAGGGGGGTGGGGGGCTGTCAGTCATGGGGGCCTGAACTCTGGACCGGGGTGCTGTCCCTCAGCTCTTCAGCTCAAGACTAGCGCTCTACCATTTGAGCCACAGCGCCACTTTGGGCTTTTTCTGCTTATGTGGTGCTGAGGAATCAAACCCAGGGCCTCACGCATGCAAGGCAAGCACTCTACCACTGAGCCACCTTCCCAGCCCCTGTACATTGTGTTTTGATGCACTTCTGTTCACCACATTAATGCAGACATGTCCGTGAGCTCTGGGTGTAGCACTTGCAACATTCCTTACTAGTGGATGTCACTGATTTGTCACAGACAACCTGTTATAAGTTGTAGAGACTGGAATTTATTACTGGGATTCTTACAGATAGAGGTCTTTGTCTAGAATTCATCTAACACCAGGTAAGGAGTCACATCAGAGATTTTTTTTTTAATCCTCTAATTTTTGCTTACTTTCAACTTTCTGTGATCTTAATTCCTGTGTCTTCTTAAGGACAGCCTTGCTGGTCTCTTGTCCCTGGGTGGGCATCAGCTCCTGGTCCCCTTACCCTGGCTGCCCAGGCCATTCTCATGGCCAGTGCCACCATGACCTTGTAGAGAACAGGAGAGTTGTGGCAGGTGTGTGTGCTTTGCTTCCTGGTGAAAAGGAAAGGATGGCAAAAATGGGCTTCATTGTTCTACCCTTCAAATAAAACTGAATTCGGAAGCGCTATTTTCCATTTGAGTTTTCTTAACCGTATATCTTGAAGCTGTGTTCTTCCAACTCTCCAAGCATGCCTTCATCTATTTGAGGGTAAAATCTGCTTAGAGTTGGCAGTGCGGTCTCAGGACCTCCTTGGTGAGCCCTAAATTGAAGACCTCAGGGAGCTTTGGTTTCGTTGGGTTGTTCCTATCAATATTTACTGTATTTGAGATAGGAACGGAAGCTTTTAAAAATCAATTCGTAAATGACAATGTTAATGTAAGCTATAATTTTATACCTTGTTGACCTCCATCTAATCAAATATCCCAGCCTACGCACGAGCTACTGTAACTGGCTGCAGACCTCATCCTTAAGGTTGGATAATATAGAAGTCTGTTCTATTCAACTTGATTGGTGGGCACTCTGTGGCTTACCCCCTTTTTGCTTTATTTTTCAGGGTTTCATGTTTTTTTGCCCAGGACCAGCATTGGACCTTGTGCCTCCCTTGTAGCTGGGTTCACAGGCATGCGTAATCACATTCGCCCTGTTAGTTGAAGTGGGGTCTTTGTGCCTAGGCTGGTGTCAACTCTGATCCCTCGATGCCTGCCTTCCGCGCACAGATTATAAACACACACTACTGTGCCAGCCTAAACGTGTCTCTTTTAAATCAACTGTTGCAGTTGCATAGATACTGATCTGGATTCCAGTATTCCTTGTTTTTTTAAGTGTTTTTTTTTTTTAACCAAGAGAGTTACATTATTTCTAATCATCTAAAAAGCCCAAATCTTCCCAATTAAGTAATAAGTTGCAGTATTACAGTGGGGCACCAAATCAGAGAGAGCCACTACCTAAACTTAACCTTGGAGTGTCTATTCATATTCTTTTTTTTTTTTTTTGGGTCCGGTGGGGGGCCTGAATTCTGGGCCTGGGCGCTGTCCCTCAGCTCTTCAGCTCACGGCTAGCGCTCTACCACTTGAGCTACAGCACCACTTCTGGCTTTTTTCTTTTTTCTTATGTGGTGCTGAGGAATCGAACCCAGGGCCTCATGCATGCAAGGCAAGCGCTCTACCACTGAGCTACCTTCCCAGCCCTCTATTCATATTCTTGGTGTGCCTGCTGCATACAATACCTTGGTGAGATAGACAATGACCTGTAATCTCGCCACAGATGTGCAGGCAGAGGAATGGGAAGCCACCAAGCTGCTAGAACGGGAGAAGAGACAGCGCTGTGGCCACTGGGGAAGGCCATCTGTGGAAAAGCCACAGATGGGGAAACAGGTGAAGGGCATGCTAAGATTTGGAATTCAGGGTGTTCAGGTCACCTGACTTTCCTGCTAAATTCCTCTAGAGACATGGGGCATTCTGAGGACTCATTTGCTGGGGCAACAGGCTTCATTTGGACGCGAGGACATGAGTAGGAAGTGGTATGGCACTATTACCTCAAATCCATTAGTAGTTTATAGGCAAAAGGTATGTGAATCATTGGTATCTAAAAGGGCCACGCATAAAAGTAATTTGATTATTTCCGATAATGTAACTTAAATGTGTCTGTTAAAATTTACAGATTGGATTCACTCAGCTCCTCTCTGATTTGCACAAGATATCCCTGAGCTTCAAAGGTGAGACAGCTACTCGCTCCTTGTTCCTGATGAGGAAACTGAGATGTGAGTGATTCATGGAGGGAGTGAAGGCAAGCCACACCTCCCAGGACAAGTTCGTGGAATTCAGATCCAGCTTCCCTCACTAGCCCTCTGTTACTATCTCAGAGCTTGGAACTTCAAGCTTGTACATGCTGCCCAGATAAACTAAGGGTTTCCTTGGGTATCCCCAAGCCCCAACCACATTATCCCCAGATGCCCTGTAATGCTTCCTTCTGACAGCCTGTAAAAGGTTGTTAACTAATGTGTTTTTAAGTAAGCACTGAAATGTTTATGTAATCTATTTGCATTTTCTAAAGGTCACCAGCAGGAGATGAGCCACAGAGCAAATAAAACCAGATCTCATCTGAAGGGTAAA